AGAAACTGAAATAATCCGGTAGCTACTCCAAGCTGGCCTATCAAACGGTCTTTGTCTACTCCTGGTGTTCGGAGAAATTACTCTGAAAAAGGAACCGGAGCACACAAATGGCTTATGCTTCTGGGATCCGGAATGTGCTTCTTCGATAAGCGGTAGACATGAACTACTGAAGAAACAAGTGTACGCACAAGGCGATTGGGTTGATCTATCTATATGAGCCTTCACATCACAGGATCCCAAATACAGAGGTTAGCGAGTATTAGGAATGTGTTATTTAGATGATGGTTAACTGCTTGTCGTGCTATTTGGTATTAGGCTTTTGCGGGTCACAAACAAGCTATTTGAGAAAACGCTACAGCTGGGAAGAAAGGAGAAAGGGAGACGGTTAGGTAGGGAAGACGAAGAACTAAACAATGGTTAGGATATCTAATCAGTAGTTCACTCGTTGCAATGAACAGCGCGGCCATGATTACCTTGTGCGACGACCGATGAAGTATGGAAATTTTTTTTCTATTACACACTTAAGTGTGGTGAACAGCAGACGGGGTAAACCCCATAGTCACGACGACCTGCTGTTCAGTGGTTGAAATCAGCAACCTAAGCCCCGGAACTTGGAGTGGCGAAACACATAAGGCCCCGATAGGTTAGACGTGGTATTGAACCGGACGACAGCAGAGCTGCCAACCACCAAAGTCGGGTGGCGGTGGCGGGGCTCGAACCTCGGACCATAGGGTTCAAAGCACGCCGGTGACAGCGACTAAACCACTGCGCCACCACCACCCGTTTAGTTTGTGTTCATCGTAGCTTTATGGATAGGTGCTGTAAAAGAGTTCAACTACTAAGCAGGAGAACGATCCGTGGTTCTGAACCGAAGCCTTCAGTTCTAACAGAAACCTGATCGTAATGGAGGAGTAAGACAAAGTGAAAACTTGTCCCATTCCATTGATTATTACTCTATCCATTTTTGTCACCAAGATACCAATTCCAGTCAGACCCCCAAACCCGGAGACTGGACTTTGTCTTACCTTTACCCTTCAACCCTCCAGGTATGATTAGATCTTCGGCTTAACAAAAGCCATTGTGTGTAGCCCGTTGGATCAGAAGTGCACAAGCTATCGCGGCACGTCAAAAAACCATCTCACTGTGATGGTCTACCTAAATTAAATGTGGTTCAGCTTTGAACAATATGGATTTCTACATGCCTATACCCGATTAAGCGTCTTTCCTTAAACAGGTACCAGTAAACCATTCGGAGCAGGGGCCTTATGTGATTCGCCAATTCAAGTCCCGGGGCTTACGTTACCGGTTTTCACGACGGAGCAGCAGATCTTCGTAATAACGAGGTTTGCCCAGTCTGCAAATGTGCGTAATAAAAAAGTTGTCTTAAAAGGTATTAAACCTCCGAGAGAACGGATATCTCAAAGAATATTTTTAAAGACGACGTTTGAACCTTAAACTAGGAATTAATGAAACCTCGTGATTCAGCACAACAGAACAAACCAGTTCTTTGACATTTAAGTGTTGCCAGTTATAGAGCAGATGATACCTCTTGTGCAAACTAAAAGAGCATTACAGGAACTATACTTCGTTGACTGTGTCGCACGCGACTTGAGCATCAGAACCAGACTGGTTTTACACCCAGCTCTGTGGATATTTGCTCACTTCCGAGATTTGTCGCATAGCCGCGAAGGATAGAGTGCATTTAGTGGCGGTCCCATGATAGGTGTAGCAGATACAAAAGGACTGCTGGTAGTCGACTACCGATGGCCATGCATTATTGCATGAATACATTTGGTGAACCGGAACAGCAATGGAGAGATTGGACAAAGGATATAGGAAAGCTTAGTTAATCTGAGGATATTTAGATCCACTCAGCAAAAATTAAACTATTGTAAAGGATCTTCTTACAAACATCATGCTGCTCACGGATGAAAATAACAAATGGCGTAAATCTGTCAAGATTTCGTGAGTAACATTCTCACGAAGCGGAAAATTACATTATGCAGACGCCAGTCACTCACCAAACGTTTAACGGGAGGGGGTTGGACAGAAGTGTCTTTTGTTGTAGAATGATTGTCTGCTTTGGTGGACTGTTTTTGGGGTAGATTCGATGAAGCTGCACCTGACTCCGGTTTGGTTTTGGGAATTCCGGCCGAAAGACGGTCAAGAAAATCGGATGTGGTAATCTCGGTCAGAATGCGTTCCTTCTGTGTCTCAAGTAAGTCCGATTTATTCAGATGTGATTCCAATGTGGACTGATGCTGACGAACGGAGTTGAATAGGGCTATCGTACCCCTAGTGGCTAGTTTTCGCAACCTTTTCTCGCGTGCCAGTTCACATTCAATCTCATTTACCGAAGCGGGACTTTTTGTACTTGTTTTGTCCGGCAATGGTGGCGGATTCCGCACGCCAGCAGCAGCCAACGGCTTTTTGTAGGCCTAGTATGTGAAAATATGGTAACGAAAAAGTCGATGACATACCTGTCTTATCCACCGGCGTCGTTCTGCAGTAGTAACTTTCTTGTCCTCTGACTCATCTTCCTCGAGTTCTGGGTCTTTGAGTGCCTTGGCTAGCTTACGTTCCTGG